GGTATTCCTCCGGTCCAGACTCCCATCCCCCAATGCAGACTATCCAGCCACACTCCCCTGTCAGCATTCACAGACCACAGTAAGAACAGTCCCAGTTCGTCACACTTGGCTACACTCGCGATTCACAGCGCTGCCGCGGCAGCGCTGTGAATCGCAAGTGTAGTGGTGCCGCAGCAGCGCTGTAAGTTCTCCACCTCTCCAAGGGAAGTAGCGTGCAGCGCTGCGAGAGCTGATTACACTGGCACTTTACAGCGCTGCACTCGCTGCGCTGGGGGGGGGGGGCGGGTTCACACCCCTGAGCGCAGCAAGTCGCAGCACAGTAAAGCGCCAGTGTAGCCAAGGCCAAAGTCTCCCAAATGAACACAAACACGTACAATTGCATTCTGAGCAGGGGACATTCTAAGGCTTGGACAGCCAGGCAATTCACCCCCACCCCCGTCTCCATATCTCTTAGCCTGCCCTGAGAACAAACTTTTTAGTTCTTTTTCACATCCCTGAGCTATGTAGTTCTACCAACCTAACCCCCCGTGTAGACAGCGCTGTGTCGGCAGGAGAGCTCTCTCCCGTCAGCTTAGAGCGCCCCCATCAAAGTGCTACCGTGATGCCAATGCAGCGTTTGTAGTGTAGACCTGCCCTTAGAGCATATCAATGCAGAGGCTGTGGTACAATCACATAGCAGGGTGGCTCGCCCCATGGGCTGCAAAACATGGGGCTAAAGCAACCTGATTACAGAATGAGCCCCACCTGAGGGGAATCAGGCCATTCCCAACAAAGAGCAGAAGGAGTCTGCACTAAAGTGGGAAGTCCAAAGAGATTGCAGCTGTCTTCTGGAAATGGCATGGCCTAGGAAGGGAAAAGCTCAGAGCAGGAAAGGACGCTGCAGGGAACACAGTGAGGAAGTTACTGGCAGTGGCAGAGAACCCACCAGAGGCAGAGTGACCATCGGCAGAGGGCAGTAACACACTGAGGGAGTGGTGATGCTATGCCCAGCCGTGAGGGGGCAGCTAGTGGTGAGTGAACACCGTTAAAAAATCATGTCCAAATGGAACCTGGATGAAGTGTAAGGAGACCGTGCTCGGATGCACGGCTGTGATTCTAAGATCTGCACCCTCCTCCCATGGGCCCTGGTAACAGGACACCTGCTGGAAAATCTCAAATTCACTAAGGAATATTACAGTGTGAAGACCTTAAATATCCCTAACCTGCACTCAGCAAACCCCAGGGTAGGTGAAGAACCAAGCAACAGCTCCTTATCTTGCAATAACCTCTCTTGCTTAAAGATGAACATGGCCCTAGCTGTTTCTGTGGTAGTTGCTGTGACGAACTGGGACTGTTCTTACTGTGGTGTGTGAATGCTGACAGGGGAGTGTGGCTAGGATAGTCTGCATTGGGGGATGGGAGTCTGCCCGAAGGAGAATACCTGAGCATGTAACATGAGAACCCAGGAAGGGGTTAGAGGCCAGGTGACACCTTTGCCTGGGAAACTGAACAAAGGCTGGGGGAGGAGCCGGGGGAGGCTGGGTGAAAGACTCTGGAGGGAATTGGAGTTTCAGGAGCTGGCTGGTGTAATGGAGGGAGCCCAGACGGGGCTCTGACCCCCCAATGGGGCTGTGGTGCCCCGGGGACCCCAAGATGGACCTATCTGGGGGGGGGGGTCCTGTTGTCTGTGCCTGCAAGACCTGTCTTGGACTGTGTTCCTGTCGTCTAAATAAACCTTCTGCTTTACTGGCTGGCTGAGAGTCATGGTGAATCGCAGAAAGCCGGGGGTGCAGGGCCTGGTGTCCCCCCACACTCCGTGACAGTTGCTAACCTCCCTGTTGATCTGCATGTATGTATTGGGAGGAGGGGTGGGCGGGAGTGCTAAGAAAACAGTCCCGTATTTTTGAAATATCACGTTGGCAGCCCTAGTTGGAGCCCATCTTTAAGGAAAATGGGACGTTGCCAGCAACCCACAGGTGGAAGGAGATCAACTAGCTGCCTGCTTACATTGAAAGTGGACAGCAACTAGGTTTGTTATTGTAGTGGAATATTGCTTTAAATAGCTGGTGAGACCTCGCGTGGTGCTCACTGTGTCCTATATTTTATACACAGTTGCTCTGGAGGAGTCTGTGTAGCTAGGCAGGGCGTGTTGTACATGTTCCCCACCATGCCCTCCCCTGAGGTTCCTCCATATTATCTTTCTTGTGTGAAGAGCAACAGACATGACCATGGATTATTTGGATCCCGTCCTCATCACTGTGTTTACTGAATATACACAACATGCCAGACCTAGCTTCATACACATGCTGGGTTCTAGACGTAGCAAGGGCTGCGAGAGGGCGCACAGATTATTTAAAGGGGGTACTACCATATTCCTATACACTACATTTGTAAGCAGCTGGAGCGATCTGAGGACATTCCTAGAAAAACAGGGTGTCCAGTCACCCTGCTTCAAAGGCCTCTCACAAGCTAAGATCTGCCACTCTGGGGTGCTCAGATATTACAATGATGAGGCCGAGATAAGCATGAGAAGCAATGTTACAAATAACAAACATCAGTGCCCCATGAGCTCCATGAGGAAACTTGTCGCCAGGATATTTATGAAATAATCACACAAGAGTTTGGTCTTAAATGATTTATTGTATGAGGAGAATGGGTTGAGAGCACACAAAGTTCATTCATCATAAAACTGTGGTATATCTTTTCCCAGAAAGCTTTTCTCTTCTACACCAGCTTTGGTGATGGTAACGAGGTATATTATGCCCCCACTCATGCTGTCCCGGCCCATGGCCAAGGCGATAGCTGTGTGTGAGAGAAAATCATGGTGTTAAAGGGATACTGCTGGGGCACATTATGCCCAAATTTGGGATTTGCATTAAGGAGTTTTTGCACAAAAAAAACCACAAAAATTCCACGGGAAACAGTCACATTAAATTGGATACAGGAGGAAACAGATTAATAGATTCCAAGGCCAGATCATCTAGTCTGGCTTCGTGCACAACACAATCCAGAGAATCACACCCTGCTACCCCTGCTTTGAGCCCAATGACTTAGCTTTGGCTAAAGCAAGATAGATTAGACAGGGACACTGAAGCCTTGAGCTAGGGCATGGGGACCCTAAAATTGAAACTGATGAGTCAACTTTCACTGCCCCAGCTGAACTGCAAAGAAATCCTAAATACACAGCATTAATGGTGAAATGTAACATGGAGTTGTAAAATTAAGTTTATTAATCTAAGAAGCTGTCTGTAACAAAGAAAAGGAAACATATGCTTTGAAAATATAGTATTTTGAACCTGACACCGCTTTAGCACCACTTGCAAAGCAAGCATTTGTGCAGGGAAAAAAAACTTAATACCTTAGAGAGCAAGGACCTCATAGCCCATTCTCCAACCTCACTGAGCCAGTGAGAGCCGCAAGGCCCCATGTCCCATTCCCCTAGGCAGGCAGTACCACGAGATTTTTTTCATATACAGTCTCTCATTACATAGTGATTTCAATAAATGTTCTATTTAATGTCTAAATCCTGGAACCAAGGAACCCCACAGAATTCCTGCTACCTGTAGGTTAAATGCCAGAAGGTAGAGTTACCATTTTTAGTGAATTGCTGGCATTCTTCTTGGGACATCCCAGGCTTGTAGGCAGCATCCACATAGCCGAAAATATAACTACTCCCAGATCCTCCAACGGCAAAAGGCTGACGGTTGATCATCCCTCCTAGAGTCCCATAAACCTGTGGGAGAAGAACACAGGAAGTTAAGCAGGTGCAACCTGGATTCATTGTTTGTTACATCAGTCAAAGGTGAAGTACAAATTGCACTAAATATCAGCCCCAAGGTCTGTATTCCGGCCAAACTTTTCATTCACGTCTCTCCTCTTGCACATACATCCTCAATGTGTATAGAATTCTTCTCCCTCGTCCTTGTAACAACCTTTTATGTACTTGAAAACTGCTCTCATGTCCCCTCTCAGTCTTCTCTTCTCCACACTAAACAGACCCAGATCTTTCAATCTTCCCTCACAGCTCACAGTTTCTAGACCTTTCATCATTTTTGTTGCTCTTCCCTGGACTTTCTGCAATTTGTCCACATCTTTCCTGAAATGTGGGGCCCAGAACTGGACACGACACTCCAGCTGAGGCCGTATCAGCGCGGAGCAGAGCGGGAGAATTACTGCTCGTGTCTTGCTCACAACACTCCTGCTAATAGAGCCCAGAATGTTGTTTGCTTTTTTTGCAACACGTCACACTGTCGACTCATATTTAGGTTCTGGTCCACTCTGACCCCAGATCCCTTTCCACAGTACCCCTCCCTAGGCAGCCACTGCCCATTGTGTCTGCAACTGATTGTCCCTTCCTAAGTGGAGAACTTTGCATTTGTCCTACTAAATGTCATCCTATTGACTTCAGACCATTTCTCCAGATCATTTTGAATTGTAATCCTGTCCTCCAAAGCACTCGCAACCCCTCCCAGCTCTCTGTGCCATGATCTAAATCACTGATGAAGATATTGAACAGAACCAGATTCAGAGCTGATCCCTGCAGGACCCCACTGATTATGCCCTTCCAGCATGACTGTGAACCACTGATAACTACTCTCTGGGATACATGTATATGCTTACATTTAAATACACACATTTAGTCAACATACATGATGGTCATAAACATGATGGTCTGTGATAAATTGAATTTCCCCTGCACTCTGCCCACCAATCCATCTCCTACAGGGGGCTACTTCTAACAGCCCAGTTCTTGGAACAGCTCAGACCGCTTGCCATGTTTTCTCTCCAAACAGCCAGCCAGAGGAATGTTTCTTCTTTCCCCGAAAAATGTGGAATTCCCCTTCAGAAACTGCAAAACCCAGAGAGGGTGTAGGACCAGTGACAGGCTGACGGTCCAGTCACCCATGACCCTCCAAGGGGTGGAAAACTGGAACTTTGTACCTCTAGGAAGGGGAAAGTCCCAGCTTCCCAAATGGATGCAGCACCCCAGTGCAATTGGCGGTAATGCTTGTGCATTGTCACAGCAATTTGCGTGGATGCACACAAAGGTTGTTCTAGGCACAGCAGAATCCCCTCCCTCTCTCTCACTTTCTCTGTCCCTGTGTCTGTCCCCGACGCAGCCTCACCTGCCCCCCTTTCTTCCGGTCCCATCCTGCCACCATGAGATTGACTGACAGCTCCTCCTTGTACTTGTAGCTGATGCCTTTCACCAGATTAGCTGCTGCCAGGACCAAGGGTTCCTCTTCCATTTCCAAGCTGTGGGTAGGAGCATCACAGTGAGAGTCAGTCACACCTGAACTACTGCTCAGAACAGGAACTAACCCCTGCCCCCTGTTAGAAGGCTGGTTTTTAAGATACCCGCAGGAGGTACTGTTCATCTTCCCCTGTAGCCCCATCCATTCCTCACCCAGCCCTGAGCTGCTGGGGTGGGGCACAGAGCTGTATACAGAGTCACAGAATCATAGAAATATCGGCTGCAAGGGACCTTGAGAGGCCACCAAGCCCTGCCCCCTTCACTGAGGCAGGACCATGGAAACCTAAACCACCCCTGACGGGGGTTTCTCCAACCTGGTCTTACAAACCTCCAGGGACAGGGATTCCCCAGCCTCCCTGGAGCCTGGTCCGGGGCTTCCCTGCCCTGGGAGTTAGAAAGTGTTTCCTCATCTCCGCCAGAATCGCCCTGGCTACAGAGTGAGCCCCTTGCTCCGAGTCCTGCCTCCTGGGGCCACAGAGAGCAGCCAATCCCCATCCGCAACAGAGCTGAAGGCTGCTCCCACGTTCCCTATCAGTCGTCTTTTCTCAGGACTAAACAGGCCTGGTTTTTTTAACCTTTCCTCGGAGGTCAGGGTTTCTAACCCTTTGATCATTTTTGTTGCTCTCCTCTAGGGGCTCTCCAATTTATACAGGGAACCCTCACCTGGTGCTGAAATGGATAGCTCAGTGGTTTGAGCATTAGCCCCCTAAACCCAGGGTTGTGAGTTCAATCCTTGAGGGGCCATTTAGGGATCTGGGGCAAAAATCTGGGGGTTGGTCCTGCTTTGAGCAGGGGATTGGACTAAATGACCTCCTGAGGTCCCTTCCAACCCTGATATTCTATGATTCTGGTGGCCAGGGGCTGTTTAGACAGGGACCCCTCACCTAGCACTGAGATCCAGCTGCCTTGGGGGTGGGCCATGAGGGCCTGTTATAAAGGAATCCCTCACCCAGTGCTGAGATGCAGCCACCTATGGGTGCAGTGCAGGAGCTGCTTACTCAGGGATGCCCTGGCATGGAGATGCATTCCCTTTCTCAGAGATGCCTGATGACTTTGTGATCTGTACCTGTGCAGATCCAGGTGGTAGTTCACCATATCTACCACAGCCTGTGCATCCGCCAGTGATCCAGCGATGGCGCAGTATATCCGGTGATGGAGAGGGGCTAGTTTATCAAATACCCTGTTTGTTACAGTCTGACTGGAGATAAACAAAGACAGAGAATCCAGCTGTCAATATAAAATGCATTATAAACCATGCAACCAAGAATAAGCCACACAGAATCATCCCCAGGTGATCCAGAGGCAGAAAATCCATAGTTAAGCTTGTATTCGATTTTCCATGATAAGCCCAGTTTTAGCCCCATCTCAGACCCACAGACTGGAATATTGGCCTAAATATTGGTAGCTGAAATCTATGGCTAAGACAGTATTTTTCTGCTGAATTTGAAGTCAGACAGGGGATTCTTGATTTAAGACACCAAAGTGGAGGTGTTCACTTTGTAGCAAAAACAGGCAGAAAAGGAGCAATCAGATTTCTTTACTCAGTTCATTTACTCAAGGTCTGGTGAAAGAGGCCAAACTTTGCCTGATCATAATCAAATTTGAAAAATTAACAACTTCACCATTTTCTCTGACTTTTTACTTTTTTTCCCAAAGGGGATGGGATTGAAAAGCTGAGAGTGTTTTTTTCCCTCCCCACTGAAATTAAATATAATTCTTCAAAACATTTTGAAAATTTTCAAAATTTTTCATTGAAAGACAAAAACTTTCAATCAAACTGAAATTGTTGGCAAAAAAATCATTTTGGACAAAAAAGCATTCTCCATAGAAAAATGTTTTGATGGAAAATGTTGACCGGCTCTACTATTTAAGTTTCTAAAGCATAGACAGAGAGGGGTGCATGGGGATAGCTGGCTAGACAGATAGATTTAGAATATTCCCACACAAAAACTTTGTTGGAAAAGTGTTACAGTTGAAAGTGTATTTTAATACAATCTAGCATACTGTGCAGAAAAAAGGTTAAATACTTTTATAATAATGCCACACCTTTAAAAATTAAAACTTAAATGTTAGAAAGTCTGGACATTTTTATGCAGACTGGCCTGGGCATCTCTTTCCAAAAGACTTGGTCTAGATCAACCAGTAGCTCTGGGATGGATGCCAGGGTCCCCGGGTGCGATTCTCTGGCCTGGGCTATGCAGAAGCTCAAAACAGATAGTCGAATGGGCCCTTCTGGCATCAAAAAGCTTTGGTTGTATTTCATGACACACAACTGGTGCCAGATTTTCAAAAGACCTCAACTCCCAGTCTAATGTGTTGCCTCCTTGTGAAAATCTGGTTGCACGTCTCTATTAAAAAAGAAAAGAACTGGGCAAAGTTAAGGTTGTGTGGGCAGTGTAAGTTGGTTAGGGTGATAGCTCACTATCAGGGATTAGATGGCGAAGGGAAATTGGCGGGATATTTTACTGTCTGTTCAAGGTTCCCTTAAAAGGCGTAGAATTATTTGCAAAGAAAGTGCAATTTTGTAGGTGTGCTAGCCAGATCGCATGAAAATACTCTTCCAGCCATAACTCTTTTTAACAAGGGTTTGTGGGGAAGGTGGGGAGAATAGATACAGGTCCTGATTCTCCACTGCCCTGCACCTTGTGCCATCCAGGGCAGAATGAGTCACTGTGGGCATAAAGCACAACTGCTTTGATTTGCACTCACTTTGCACTGGTGTACATGTTACCACAAGTGCTGGGCAACAGGGAAGCAGGTTGATAAAGTGGGATCAGTCATAATTCCCCACTACCACCTGTCTGACTGTCGATGGCTTTTATAATCCAGTGACCCCTGGGCACTTACCCCGCAGACACCCGGGAGTCAGACCCCAGCACAACCCCTCCGTCAAACTCCACCGCCATGATGGTCGTCTGGGGAAATAAACGAGACAAGGAATTCAGGGTTGCCCAACGCAGGTGAAACTCAGAGCCTAAATGGAAACCCTCTTGAGGATCTTGGATAAATGTGAAACCAGGAGGCTAATATGACCACATCTGAGTCCTGCTGACAGACTGACAATCCCCTGGGGAGGTATCACCACCCAGAAATAACCAGCACCAGGGGCTTAGACTTCAAATAAACTCATCAAAGCTCTTCTTTGCAAAAAGTCACTTTGGCGTCTGGGGGGGGGGGGGTCCCAAGGAATGGACAGCAGATTGTGCAAAATTAGCTGTGAGGGTGGGGGTGCAGACTGCTTATATTCAAAATGTTACGTTACATTAAAATCGGTTGGCAAATGAAAGCGAAAGCGAAATGCAAAATAAACTTAAAGAATCCTGGAACCAGCCCCACAGGCCCTGAGGTGGGACATGCCCCCGAGCCCTGATCCAATTCCAGAGATGGGGCATAATGGGGATCAGCCCCCCCCCAACTCCTCCGGTCCCCCAGGGGTTCAGCTGCTGCGGGCACTCCCCCTCCCGGAACCGCCCGCTCCCCGGCCCCACTTACCCCCGTGCGGATCTCCCCAGCCGCCCAGCTGGGGTCCCCCAAGCCTGCCATGATCTGGGGTGTCCACGAGGAGAGCGCCCGGGGGCTGCGGAGCAAGAGAAGAAGTGAAAGCACCAGGTTCCAGGGCAGCTCCACTAGTCTCGCCCCGCCCTTCGCTGCAGTACCGCCCATCGCCCCCAGGGGGCGCCGCGGCCACGTGCGAGGAGCGAGCCCTGGTGGCGAGGAAACCTGTTTTAGAGGCAGTCTGCCCGGTAACCTGTGATGCGCGGCCCCAGCCGCGGGAAGTGAGACAGGAGCTGAAATAGCTCCTGCAGGGTGGGGCGGAGAGGGGGGGGGGTGTTGGCGCTGGGGCCCTGCAGGGTTAGAAGCTTCTGTTCTCAGCGTCCCGCGGGGCTTGAGTTCCCGTTTTAGGGTCAGGCCTGGTGACCCTGGCACCTGACTCCAGCGTTATCCTGGGCATGCAAGGTGCAGGAGTGTGCAAGAATATGGCAGCGACATCGGGCAGTGGTGTCAGTATACCAACAAACAAGGGTTAGGCTGGTGAGCTGAGACCTCCCCCATTGTGGTGGCCAACATCATCTCAGTGTGTCCTTGTGCTCCCCTAGCAGCCTGTGTCCATCTGTTGTCTCTTGTCTCATGTTCAGATTGCCAGCCCTTTGGGTGCAGGGACCGTTTTTGTTCTGGGATTGTACAGCGCCTGACACATTGGGGCGGTGGGCTGTGACTGGGGCTCCTCGGCGCAACAAGAAGGAGAAGTAAGAGCAAGCATGAGTGTGCACATGTGGGTGTACATGTGTGTCTGGGTCCACACACGTTCCTGTTTGGTTTGGGGCTGTGCGTGTGAGCAAGTGTGCATTTGTGTGACAGTGCTCACGGGTGTACACGCACGTGCAGAGGGGCAAGTGTATGCGTGACTGTGCACGGTGGGTGTGTGAGAGCGAGAGCTGACACCAAAATCCCTTCCGTAAACTCCCCACGAAACTCCAGAGTAGAGCGGGGGCGGGGGGGGTGAGGGGCACCAGTGGGTGGGAGGGGCAATGGGAACAGTAAGTAACTGGTGAATACAATGCGCAGCATTTCTTCTGTGCACCCACAGGGCTCTGCACAGACCTAACTCCCTGGCTGGGGGCTGGGAGTTAGTGCAGTCAGCTGATGGGACGCCTGGCTGCCTCCCCCGGAGAGGGGCTAAAATCGCTCGCGAGGCGGGAGGGGGAAGGGCTGTCAGATGATTCGCTTTCACTTTCACTCTTCACCTTAGGCCAGTTCGTTTTCCAGAAGCGGCTCAAGGCAGCGGGGGGTTTCCAGGGCGCAGCAGCAGCAGGAGTAGCTCCCACGCCCCTTTCTCCTCCTTTCGCATTCATTATTTCCGCTCCTTTATCGGCGAGTTACATTTCGCAGCCTTGCATCGTGTTTCGGGAACGTGCAAGAGATCCAGGGACAGGACCTGAAGCCTGGGGAAGCATTAATCCCTCAGCCGCTGAAGCCAGATCCAGACCCCAGCAGGGGAATGGGAGAAACCCATCATCCACCCAGAGGACTGGAAATGAATTTGAACTGAGAAATTGTCTGGTATCCCCACTTTGTGTACTGAGGCGCAGTGACCCGAGCGGCCGCCAGAGGGCGCCCCCCGGGGACCGGCCGCAACCGGGCCCAAGAGATTTAGACACTCGCTGCTGAGAGCGGCAGGGACCGGCCGCAACCGGTCCTAGGGGTTTAGACACTCTCTGCTGAGCGTGGCAGGGACCGGCCCGGGGATGAAGCTGGCCATGGCCTGGGTCTCCCTGCCCCTGGCGGTGCTGCTGGATTTCCTCACCCTGCGCCTGGCCCTGCTGCTCTGCCCCCTGCTGCAGGCCTGGGACCCCCTGGCGCTGGCCTGGGGGGTGGCGCTGGCGCGGTGGGCCCTGCTGAGCCTGAGCGCCCAGGCTGCCCGCGGCAGGGGGCAGGGGCTGCCCGGGGGGCTGCAGGACGCGCTGCTGCCCCTGGCCGCCCTGCTCAGCCTGCTGCTGCCCGGCTACGTGACCCTGCAGGCGCTGGCCCAGCCCCGGGCGCCCCCCTCGGAGCTGCTGCACGGCTGGGGGCGAGGGGACGTCTTCGGCCTGACCTACGGCGTGGCGGGGCTGGTGGCCGCGCTCTGGCACCAGCTGTTCCCCGCCGGGAAGGGGGAGCCGGGGCCCTCGGCCTCGCTGGGCCGTCTGCTGGCCTGCATGAGGCCCGACCTGCTGCGCTTCGTGGCCATCGCGGGGTTCCTGGTGCTGTCCTCGCTCGGTGAGTCGGGGGGACGGTGGCTGTGGGTGCGAGGGGGAAAGGCCCCGTCTCCTGTTCCCTGCCTCCCTGAGCCAGCCAGTCCCTGCCCAGGGGCCAGATCGGACAGAAACCATCTGTCTATTTATACGTCTCTGTCTTGTTTCTGGGCAGAGACTGTCTCTTCCTGTCTCGGCAGTGCCCGGTGCGACGGGGCCCTGATCCTGACTGAGTCCTGTGTGCATTACTGGGCTCTCAGACAGGGGGTGTGTGTGTGTGGGGGTCACAGGGTCCTGGGCCCAGTGTGAGTAGAGTTGAAGGCTGCACAAATATAGGAAATAACCCTGAATGGGTGAGAGGTGTCTTCTCCGGACTCTAACCACTAGACCCCACTCCCCTCCCAGAGCTGGGGAGAGAACCCAGGAATCCTGGCTCCCAGCCCCCCCTGCTCTAACCCACCAGACCCCACTCCCCTCCTGGAGAACCCAGGAGTCCTGACCCCATGTGCTGTTGGGTTGCAGGGGAGATGGCGATCCCCTACTACACGGGGCGCATGACCGACTGGATCGTGAGCGAGGACGACCCCTCAGCCTTCGTCCGGGCCATCTGGGCCATGTCCCTCATCACCGTGGGCAGGTAGGGCTGGCGGAGCTGGGGTCACGGGGATGGGGTCAATGTGTATGGAGCGTGGGGAGAAGAGGGGGTTATGAGGGGTAGAGGGGAGCTGGGGTCATGGGGTGGGGGATCTGTATAACAAGATCCCTGCAGGAATTCAGGAGCAAGTCTGGGGGGATCGTGGCTGGGGTTGGGTGGGCAGGGAATTGGGGGGTAGGTCTGGGTCGATTGTGGCTGGGTTTTGGGGGGCAGGTCTGGGGGGATCGTGGCTGTGCTTGGTGGGGTTGGGGGGTAGATCTCAGGCAATTCTGGCTGGATTTGGGCTGGGGTTGGGGGGGCAGGTCTGGGGGATTGTGGGTCGGTTAGGGGGCCCAGGGAGTTGGGGGGCAGGCAGTAGCCCCAGCACTGACCACTGCCCCCCACCCCCACAGTGCAGTGACAGAGTTCGTGTCCGACTGTCTCTATAACGGCACCATGAACCGGATCCACACCCGAATCCAGAGCCGGGTCTTCAGCTCCGTCCTGCGCCAGGAGATCGGCTTCTTCCACACCAACCGCACCGGTACGGGACCCCCCCAACCCCACAGCGACCCCCCCTTACCCTCTGCTCCACACCGATCCCACAGACACCCCCTCCCCAGGGCTCCCCCCCGTCCTGCGCCAGGAGATCGGCTTCTTCCAAACCAATCGCACCGGTACGGGACCCCCCCAACCCCACAGCAACCCCGCTTACCCCCCGCCCCACACCAATCCCACAGACACCCCCTCCCCACGGGCTCCCCTCCCCCCCGTCCTGCTCCAGGAGATCGACTTCTTCCAAACCAATCGCACCGGTACGGGACCCCC